TATCCAAACATTTTTTTCCCTAAATATTTTACACTGAAGTTGTAAATACCGTTTTTGTCGATTGTAAATTTCTGCGTCTATTGATGTGCCCATTTGTAATGTGTTGTTGTGGTAAATCGGAGAAATTAAGGAAGTTATAAATTAAAAGGATAATTGGAAATTTAATTTTTGTTTCGATGATTTCACGGCACGAGTGATGTTAGTGATAAATCATTCGTCCATTGAAAGTATTGAATACTAAAATTAGTTTTTTAGGCAAATACATACTAATTCTCATTTATATATTTTTTCCGGTTTCCCGATTTTAAAAATAATAAATGAGGGCATGAGCAGACGCAGAATTTATTGTTCAAGCGACAAGAAACCTTTTTACAACTTTGCTCTAAATTAATTAGGGGAGAAAATATTTCGATATAAAGAAATAAATATGTCCCTACGGATGCATAACCTGTTCAACACCGGACACCCTCTATAATGACAGATTTAATTTGGTTATGACCATTCCATTGTAATGATTCGTTTTTTAAATTTAGCTTCCCCATAATGTTATAATTATCACCAATTCCAATGCAAATTTTAATTATAATTTTTGCAGTATTTTTTTGGAACAATGCCGAGAAGATCAGTTAGAATTTTGTCGATGCTCAAAAATCCCGTCCATCCGTAAGACAGCATCCAGGATGAATATGATCTTCAAGACATCGAACGTTGTCAAGGTAAATATTTCCGAATTCATTTGTGTCCTAAAATTTCCCTGGTCCTGGAATTTTTTACTATAAAATTTCGCTGTCTAAAGGGGGGGGGGGGGCATGAATTATTTCCTGAGATGCTGTTTTTGATAGTAAAACGTGCATAACTTAAAGGTATCATTCAAATAGATTGCTTTGTACATACTTATAACTTCCCCGCGCGACTCTTTTTCGTTATCAGTGGGGGATGGGGCCGGCGGTTGTGGGGGGGGGGAGTTAGAAATTAATTAATTAATTTTGTCTTTCATGGTATTCTAATTAAAGGTCTCAACGAAAGGAACCGCTTTCTACCAACTACTGCCCTTCTTCCTGTCCTCTTATCAAAAGACAGTGGTGGGGAAGGGGGGGGGGAGTGGAACTGGTTTTATCCTTCATGGTACTTTAATGAAAGGTATCAACGAAAGGAATTAATTTCTACCAACCATAGACCTCCTCCTCGACCTCTTATCGTAATCGGATATATTCCCTTATATCTTCAGAACGGATTGTCGGAAGAGGGTTCTCACAAAGGGCGATTGGAACGTCTGCAAGAAATATATCCATTGGTGATGTCTAAACTTTAAGAGCGAATGTCTCGAAAACTGTTTGTCGGAGGAAAGTACTCTGAAAGGAAAAATCTGCAGAATAGAGTGTCGGAGGATTTTGAATGTATGCCAGGCGGTCTTTAAATGTTTGTGTATAAAGAGCCATACCGCCTCCTCCCCTTAGAACCCTATTTCGGTCTAAAAAAATGAGCTTTATCTGCACATCTCCATTATAAAAACAAATAACCTTCCTCATAGGCACATCCTCAATTTTATATTTTTCTGTGAACCTAGAAAAAGTACATACTGTATCGAGTAGCATTTTGTATGGCGAATACAATAAGTATGGGACAATATGTCATTTAAAGGACCCATAAATGAATTATTTTGACATGTTGTCAATGACCTACTACACCAACATAATAAAAGTTGTTTATTATTTATGTCAGAAAAAATGCTTGTTAAAAATATTGTTATTAATATTATGTGTTAACATTTTGGTGTAGTAGGGGTTGACAAAATGTCAAAATAATTCATTGATGGTTCTTCTGAATGATAATTGTCCCATACTTCATTGTATTCTCCATAAAAAATGCTACTCGAACAGTATGTACTTTCAGGTTCACATAAAAATATCAAGTTCATGATATGCCTATGAGGAAGGTTATTTGTTTTTTGATATCTTTTTAAACAGGACCAGACAAAAATAAAAACGAATACGGCTAATTTCGGTTTCTGTCGAATACCTTTGGAACTGATCAGATATCTGAATTTTAAAAACATCTTACTAAGCCCTAAAATACTCAACTTTTTTCTAATTATCCGACTGTGTATCTCTTATGGTTTCCAATTTTCCCATCATCCTTACCTTGGTCACTGTGTATATGATTTGCATCCTTTTCGTGGATGTATGTGATTGCATCTATCCCAACGCGATAGTATATTTATATCATATGTGTCTTACAGATGCCCTAAATCCTGAAGAAAACCGAATCGCACCAATACAGACTACAGGGGAAATTATGGAGGAGATAGATTTGATAAAACCAAATCCAAAAGGTAAAATTATATACAGGGTGGTGACTTGCGTCACGCATCATAGGGATTTCAATGTAAAATTCATAACATGCAACTATTGGCTCCCCAAATTATTTTAGAGCAAAAATGTATTAGTTTTTTGTAGAAAAAAATCTTTACGTCAATAAACCGTATTAGTTTTCAATTTTTTACATAATAAAGACGGAAAATTGGAAAAATAAAACCCGCATCTTTTGCAATAATCTGCGATGCCATGGAATTTTCTAAAACAAAAAGATGTCCAGTTATCAATTAGCAGTAGTTCGAAATGGATTTTATGATTGACTTGGTTACTGCCTTGCAGTTAATGGTGACTTATTCGAACATTTATTGTAAATTGTTATATTAGGAAACCGTTTTTAGTCATTTGGTCTTTCTTTATGTTGAATTCGCTGTTCTAAATATAATACTTTTTGATAGAATTTGATTTGTTTTATAGCACATTCCATGGCATGACGGATATTGGCGTAGTTTTTGTATTAGAAAATTCCATGGCATCACAGACTATTGAAAAAGATGCGGGTTTTATTTTTCCAATTTTCTGTCTTCATTATGTAAAAAATTGGAAACTAACGCGGTTGATTGACGTAAAAAATTGTTGTCTATAAAAAACCTTAATACATTTTTGGTCTAAAATAATTTGGGGAGCCAATAATGGCATGTTATGAATTTTACATTGAAATCCCTATGATGCGCGACGCAAGTCACCACCCTGTATAACTATCGCCAGGAAAGATTGCCGGTCACAGCACACCTTGTCTATGTTTTTCTTAAGATGCGAGCGACTTCCGGAATAGGATCGTGCCAATGTTGAACGAAAAGTCTTTTTGTTCAACATTGACACGATACTATCCCGGAAGTCGCTTACATTTTTAGAAAAACCTCGATTGTAGACCCAGCTCAAGTGTTTTGTGACCGGCAATCTTTCCTGACGAGAGGTTTATTTTCATCATTTTACTATTTCATTATTTGATTCTGGTGAGATACAAATGTTAAATTTTATCTAACATCATGTTAATGTTACAGGTAAACTCCAGCATAAATCTCTAGTAGCGCGCCATATGGTCTTCAGAAGAAAAATCAGCTGTCTTAGGTTTTTTCAACCAAGAAATTAAAAAAAGATCTAGTACCCGGAGAAGCTCAATGTGAAAAGTGCTTAGAAGAACATGATGTTTTGCCCACAAGATCATGGACCGGCGTAAAATTCTGCATTAAAAACCATCTAGACAAGAGAAAAGATGAGTGTCTTTACTCATAGAAAGTTAAAAACTGCCTTTGTTGTACTATAGTGCGGCATTTTACACGTTTAATCTATTTCTTATTACTAAAAAATGTACAGGTACTAGCTAGCTTTACTGAAAGCATTGAATTTATAGATAGTTATCAATTCAATGCTGAAAGTACCATTGCTGTACTAATTAAGATTATTGTAGTTTTCTGAAACATTTTTAATTTTTCTGTTGTTCATTGGGATTTATAAAATTCCTTCTGTATTTGTGTATATAGCCAACTGAATAAAGATTTCTAAGCAAAATTGTGTTTTGTACCTGGGTTAATTTTTTCTAAACGGTAGGTACTATATGTGGATCTCGCGGTAAAGGTAAATTAATTTGGTAAGAACAGAGAGATAATCTGGGGAGTGGATATCCCAAGGATGAATTTTGTTTGTAAGAAATCTACTAGAGATACTTTTAATACATAAACTGCTTCAGGACATTTGTAAAGCGTTGCTTGATTCAGCTTATGTCTTTGATGGCTGTTAACTTTTGGTCATTGAATAAATTTTTATTCAATGTTTTGGTCCAGGTGCCATTTGCACTTTAGTCCACCACTGCTCTAGATTCTAGACTAGCGCAACTACCTACCACTATTTAGGTACCTAAAATTGACTACGTACCTACCTAACTTGTATGGCAACCATGATTTTGTCATCAATTTTGTCTATTTTGCAAAATGACATTATCTTAGGCGTTTCTATCGGTTTCATAGCGTAGCGTGAATGAGGTTAGGCAACACATCGAACTCCCACACCAGTTGAATAATATTGCTTTCATGGGAGTTTTCGTTTCGAAGAACTTATGTAACCCTCCCCCTTTATACTAATGTACATATTCAGAGGAAATATCCTCTTCAGCAATCGTTATCTATAAGAAAAACAGAGAGTGAAAACTTGGCAACACTGCATTTTCACACAAATTTGGAAATGCAATGTTTATGACATCTTTCTTTAACACACTGCACAAAATGGCATATTACTGGCAGCCCACACACTAAAATCTTGTTTCATAATAATTGTGGCAAATGATGCCATAATACTTAACACAGTACAGTTTCCTTCCTATGGAAGGTATCTTGGATACCCTCGGTTTTTCATGATCCGCACGAGATGGCGCTACCTCTTATGTATGTTTAAACGAAATCGCCACAATTTGGGTTTATTCTCATGTTGCCATAAATATTACGAGGCGGGTAAGGGTGTGTGTGTGTGTGTGTCGTTTTAAGGATCGGCCCAAGAAACTGGAGAGAGTAAAATTTAATTAAATACGTTAATTACAAAAACAATCAAATTTAAATCAGATTTGCCCTGTTTCAATTACACGGAATAGCTCTAGGGACTTCATTGATTACAAGGAAGGAAAAAAGAACTATTGAAAACCGTCCATTCCAGGGTATATACTCACTCACTTTCTCGCTTCTTTTCCAATTTGCATTTAACAATTAAACATTATAATAAGACCAAGAGCTTACGGTACGAAGAATATGGGGAGTTCAGACGCCTGTCATTTTGACCAGGTCCTAACCTTATCTTGTAATAATATACAGGTTGATTCAAATTCGAGGGCGGGCATGGGAATCTCGGAAAATGTAAGAGATAGGTAGGTAGTTTAAATTTGGCAAAGTTTCGTGTCTTTATGCTTAAGAAAATGCAGTTTTGAACCTAAAAAAAATTCCGACTACATTCGGAGAATACCCGGAATAAAACGAAATTTTGCAAAATCGTTTTTATTAGTTACTGAAATTATTTAAAAAGATATATCGAAATAAATGACACATTATTATGGTCACTTTTTTCCCTCTACAAGATGCTACGTTTAAATTTTAAGTTTGACGTTTGGTCTCCAGCCAACCATCATCAACTTTGTTAGCATTGGAAATGCTTATGTTTTGTAGTATGTAGTTACCACATTTGTGAAGCAGAAAAGAGACAGTGGTGTCGCGCCTAGTGTTGATTATACCGTACTCGACTGCAATCGATAGATTCAGGAAAAGTCGCGGATACTGTCGATACGGTACTTACTTAACAGTACGCAGGGGTTTTGTTAATTCGAATTGAAAATTCTCGCACATCGCCCGTGATAGTATTACAAGCACGTTACGCCGCTTCATAAAGTTTACGTTAAGCATCAAAATACGCAAATTTGCCAAATTTAAACTACCTACCTATCTCTTACAGGTCCCGAGATTCTCATGGTGGCCCTCGAATTTGAATCAGGCTGTATAGGGGTGTGCTCAGGGTTTATTGTCGTATTTTGACCTCAGGCGCCCGCCTTTGGCTAGGCCATGACCTGTCTCATTATACAGGGTGTTACATGACCGCCTGTAAAAAAATTGGGTGATAGAGGGGATCAAGACAAGCACTTTTTCCAAATAAACCGAGGGTCCAACGTGTTTCGTTTAGGAGCCACCCCCAAAGAAGTGGTGAAATTTGGATTTCTTCTTTCATTTTTTTCTCAGCAACCATAAGAGTTACAAAGATGGGTGACACGTCTTTAAAATTGGTTTTCGGGTATGCCCTATCCGATTTTGAATTTTTTTCCAAAATTCCTACCACGAAAGGGCGCACCCCTACTTGGGGGTGCGAAAAGAAATTCTGATTTCGACGAAATTTGGTATCTGGGGGTTTTTGAACATGAAAATGACGAATCTGGAATTAGTTTTTGAAAATTCGAAAAAAAAAGTTCCACTGCAATTCTTGTCCGGACAATGAAAATGGAGAAAATTCCACGAAATTTGTTGTGTACATATTTGATGTGTTAAGGAACACAGTTTTTTTAATATAACTTTAATTTAAACAGAGGCCCTGCCAATTCAAATTTAAACAAGCATCTATTAAATCAAAAGCAAATAAACAAAAGCGATTACCTACGCTCTACTTATTTAATGATATAGTTACATAATTTCTTGCATTCTTAAACACTACCACACTTCGTGCTAATTAAATAAGAGACAGTGGCGTAGCTGCAGCGACTTCTTTTTTACAAACCGGGCACGGTTTAAATTTAAAATTTCCAGACACTGTACCGTCACAGAGGCTATTGACTGAAAGATGTGCATTTTTTAGTAAGATGCGTTAAACTTTTGCCGAATCATTGAACCTTTATAAAGAGCACAAAATTAATGACACAATTTGCATTAAGCGTTTGGAATGCATTAATGCAAAATCCAGAATAGCATGCGCCTAAGATATTTGGGTTGCACAAAATTAGACGCCCTTTAAAAGAGATTTTGTCTTTTAAAAGTAGACATATGGAAAAGCAAATACGCAAATCTCTATTAGCATCACTTCCGGTTTGGCCGGAAAGCGTAGCAACTTTTATTTTTTAAAGTGTTGCCTACGTTTTTTAAGCCATTTTTTGACATTTTGCTGTACGACAATGTAAAATATGCATAAAGTTGATACACACACAAAAAATTGAGAAATTCGTAATTCATTATTCAGAAAACTGATAAGATTTCATATCTTAGCAAATATCTTGGATAGTAAGCATAATTGTCTAAATGGTTTATTGTTAATCCCTTAAAAGGGGAACCTTTTTGTGTTATTAAACCGGATTTGTAACGTGTAGGGTTTTTGAGATACCCATCCTGTTAATTTTTATCTTGGACACATGGTTTATACTTTAGAGGGTATTGTAACAGAATTTGTTCCTTTCATTATAAAGGCACTGTATTTGCAAGGACTTATTTACTGAAACCAATTAATTGTTTACAGATTATATGGCTATTTGGTTCTTAATTAAGGAAACGATTGTGATTATAATAATCTGTCACGTGTGTTACTGTTATTTGGACTTGCTGGAGGTAAGTTATTCTTGTGCCTGTATTTACAGTAGTGTGTTAATTAGTAGTAAAAAGTTACTAGATTGCTGGATGTTTCCCAAAATTGTCTCCTTCTGCGGTATTTGACAACATGTGGTACCACATTAAAAAGATTGTACCGAACCTGACGGAAATGTGAGCGTCACCTGTGCGTCTGTGCACCTTTAAACTATAGCCTGCAATAGTATTTATCACATTGATCGCGCGACTTATACAGGGTCGATTTCCAGAGAGTTATGTTTACTATTTCACTACGACTCCCTTAAAAAAAAGTGGTATTCATATTTATAAAATTATTTGACATTCGCTTTCTCCAATTTCTCCTGACGGAATAGATTTAAGTAGCTAGGTTTAGTTAGTTTAGAAAATGCACAGATTGTTATCGCTTTTATTTCACGTTCGCTATGAAGCGGTATACAACGGGTTCGCGATAATAGGGCCACCTTAATGTCTCGTCTATTTGGCGAGATTTGAAAAAATGGTCTAATATAAGTGCTCCCACGCCATCCCAAGAAGTTTAAAGTCACTCCTTCTACAGGAAAAATAATATTACTCTCGAGTTTTGCTGATATGAACCAGAGTAGTACGGTAACGGGAGACTATTATGCAAATCTGATGCATCGCCTTAGAGATGCTGTTGAAGTGAAGAGACGCGGAAAGCTGCCGCAAGGTGTCTTGTTGCTCCACGTCAATGCACTAGTACACAAGTCCGGACTTTCAGACGCTACTGTAGCTGATTGTGGCTTCGAAGAAATTGAACAAACAACAAAATTTAGGAACAATGACAAACTTTAATATCAGCTGTTGAGGGCCATTTTGCGGAAAAACCAAATGGATATTTTTATACTGGATTAAAGAAATTGAAACGGTGTTATACCTCTATTCAAAAGCAGGGGGAACTATATTGAAAAATAAAATTTTGTTGTTGACCTAGTCCTTTGTTTTCATGTCTAGTCCTTGACTATAAAAATGATGCCTCGTACATTTCTTAAACCATTACCCCAATTATTGTATCAATTTACTATAAACATTTTTGCGTCCTATGCGGATCAATAGAATTGCACTTGAATTGTCAAATTCTACATAAAATGTCAACTGTCATTAATCTGATGTCTGATGATGAAATTGTACGTGTGTACTGTGTATTCTCAGGAAAAAATTAACAACATGGACATTAATGTAAAAGAGAGTTGACGAATCATTATTTAAATAGATGCCTCATACGTAGAATATTAAATTTAATTTTTTATTTTATAGCATATATTAAAATGACATTTTAATAGGTTTGAATGAGTAGGCTAAGCCATTCTTTAACCGTAAGGATAGATAAAGTGATCACTTTAACCGTAAGGGTAGATAAAGTGAAACAAATGATTGTGCATTCTAGTGACATCTGTGATTCTTATTTCAAATGCACGTTATAAAATGACGTTCAGAACATATGACAATTTTGTTTTTATAGAAACGATCACAATGCTTACTATTTTTGACGTCTCTAAATTAAATTCAGAATTGTCAGAAGCTTTACAATGATTTATATGGCTTCTGCTATAAAATAAAGTTTTGTATTATACACGACGATAAAGGGAAACTAACCATTTCGTGAAAGTTAATTCACTCGTGAATTAACATTGACAAGTCTTTTGACGTGTCTCAGCGTTTTTTCCTTTAATCAGTGGTTTTCAATAAATCCGGGGTGGAGAGTTTTCAAATGAACACCCTGTGTACAAATTATATTAACAGTCAATACAAAATGTACTATAGACGCTAAAATTCAAGCGCAGTTGACATGCAGATTCTAGAAAAATGCTACTCGCATTTGCATTCTCCCTTACATTCTTTAACGCAAAAACCTTATTAAAAGTGAATGGACGGTTCTACGTATTGTCTGCGTACGTGCGTAAGTTTTGCAAAGCGAATAGGGTGATATCATTAAAAATTTAGTATTCACTTCGCTTATTCATTATCGCCGTACCCGTTTCGATGTGATGAAACACTTTAATTTCCGACGAAGTTCCCCCCGAAACTGGGGCATATTAGCCCATTGTTCGAATTGATTTAATATACGTGAGATTTACTTTAAAAAGTAGAATAATATTTGTGTAATGGCTCCGGTAAATGGTTCGCCGTGTTCCGAATCGTAAAATTTGATGAATTGATATCGAATTTAATTATATCGACTGAGTGAACCTCTATGCCTGCCATTCGGTTTTGACAGAAATAAGAAAAATTTACTAAAAACAGTTGATTAATTTCTACCCAAGTCACGAAATCTAAAATACCTACTGTTTGAACGCATATGCTTTTTGTAACTAATGAAAATAGGCCGTTGGTTTGTCCATACAATTTTTGCACAAGAAGACATTTTTAATTAAAGGCATTTTCTAGACTGCCTGACTTTTGAGTTCAGACTACTTCCATAAAATCAGATCACCATATATTAATAATGTAACATATGAGGGGAATATAGGAAATAAAGTTAATAAATTAGATAAATTTTGATTAAAAAAGTATGAGACTTGATCCTCAAATGTTGTACTTCTTCAAAAAAAAAGCACGCACCCAACCATCTGCTGGATTGCTTACAAGCTGCTTTGGACGACTTTTGCAGCAGACAACGAAGAATCTTCTTTTTCCAACGATATTAGTTCGTTAAAAGACAAAGACTTAAGGGCCTAAGAGACTACATTGAAAATAATATAATTAAAACAATCGCATGTCTTTTGTTTCATGTTGAGATTTCTTTTCTAGTGTCCCGCGTATAATAGTTACTTCAAACCATGAGGGATGGACATAGGACGGAGGGGTGGTAACGGTGATTGGTAAATGATGTAAGACTTACTGCTCCAGTCCACGTTACCAATACTAAGTGCATTTTTCGTACACACCATCCTTGTTGCTTGTTTCCTTGAAACTTTATGGAATTTGTTATATAATTTTATTTTTTGGAATAATTTTGAAAAGGTTCTCAGAAAACCACTTTATTACTAGCATAGCAGCTTATGCTCGTTATCATTTTATGTAGGTAAATAAAATTTCTTGTGCTTTTGTCTTCGTTGAACTTCGCCATTCTTAAATTCCACTACACCAATAGTTAGCCATATGCTTTTGGAAAATAACGTAAAATCAGTTCATCGGTCAAGACTGCAAGCAAGCATTCACTTGAAATCTATTTTCTGGTGGCCTGTGGAACTACTCATAACTTCCGAAACATTTACACTACGCCGCAAAGCACAAATTCCTCAGCTCTCTGCGCCGCTAATTTAACGAAATTATTGTCGTGTGTTCTTTTAAATTTTTTGCGAGTTGCAATTACGAATAATACTAATATAATAATATAAAGTTCATTTATAAAAAAGGGCAACTTCGTTGTGTGGAGAAATTGAGAGATTGGCTGGTCTATTTTTAACCGTGAAATATATTACGAATGTGTTTCATTCATAATACGCGTTCGTTTTAGTCCCTTAGTCAGCGTGATCGCAATGTTACCACGAAAGCATTGTGGTCAAAAGTGCAGAACGTTTCATTGCGTTTATTCTTGGAGTGGTTAGTTACTATAAAAAAACAAGTTTATCAGCCAAATTTGTGCGCCCCTCTCTTTTATACGGGGCCGTAATAAGATTCTGAATTAAACGGCAACCGGTAAAAAATTTAAAGACGATTAATTAACGCTTGTGCTAGTTGCTAAAACCCTACATTTCGATACAAGGGGAGAATTGTCACATTCATACTGCGAAGCATTGGTAAATTATTCGAGTGAGTAAACAAAATTTCAACTACTAAATTTCGAGAAACCTGAAGTACAGTTTGATCCTGATTCAAATCCTCAACCATCTTTCAAAATTCACGTTCGAGTAGCCGAATTTACCAGGCGATACAAAAGGTCCAATTGTATTGCACAAGGCATTTCATCATCCAATTTTGCGAAATGCTGCAAAAGGAGCAAATTGATTGTAATTTCGTGAAGATTTCGATTCATCAATGAAATTTTTGCATTGTATAAAACCAGGAGATCGTTTTAGGGATTTTGTATAGCAATTTATGCTCAAAGTCATTTTTAACATTCCTGAAGAGGTCGACCCACGGAAGATTATCCCGTGAACAGATGTTTTTTTATTAATAGTAAGCGAACCCAAACAAAAGATCTTGGTGATTATTTCTCATTAATTGTAAAATGAGATTTCAAGTTTATTGATACCATTCTTTTGTGTGTCAAATTTTAGCTAGCATATGTAGCATAGCAGATGTACAAGTTTACATTAGTATTTATTTGAGAGTGACCAAACCAGAGCTTCAGGTTTTGATTTTCAGATTATAAGGGGAAATAAAAATTACGCTAAGTAAAAGTAATTAAAAGTTTATTCATTACTGAGCTAGCCGTGGTATTAATTATTTGATTACAAACAAAATTGATTGTTACAGTGGCGTAGAGAGTAAAACTTATTTTAGGCAAGTGAAGCTTCCATTTTTTTTTAATACTGCTGTATGTCAAAAAGTGGTTTTCATTAATTATTGCGAATAATTCTTCATCAATTAGATATAGTGACACAAAATTCAATATTCAATTTGAAACTCACCGTCGCGTCGGAGACACGTTAAAATAGCGACTGAAATAATAGCAAGTCGATGCATGTCTCCTCCGTATGATTTATTGTAGTGCAAATCGCGTCACAGTAAAAAGATTACTGTTTTTTTGTCACTGCGATTGTTGAATCCCAATTGGGTTTACTTGTATTTGAAACTATAATTTCTATCTTTGCCAGTAAACAATCGCGTGATAAAAAATCGCAAGTGGAGACCTAGCCTTATAGCGACACTGATGCGGAAAATTATAGAACAGGACTGTAGATTAGAACTTTTCCGACGGTACAATCCTTCGGTGAATCAAAATCTCTGGCCGTATTTTTTTCAATTTTTTTTTATTGATTTCCAGGTGTGCAACTTTCCAAATTTTGCGATAATAATAAAAATAATAATATTGCCTTTATTGAAGAGGAAAACAGAAAAAATAAACAAAGGACTTCCAAGCAAGGGCGAAGTTCGGCGCAGCAGAAAAAACTGCTGCCTGATAAAGCGCCAATTTGAAATATCTCATCAAAATCGATACGTTACCTGAATTATACTTTTAAATCAATAAATACTGTCACATACAGGTAACACATCGTCTGCTTTATTAACGAGCTCCTAGCGAGTTTATAATTTTGCGGTGTCTGTCCCTCCGTCCGTCCGTCCGTTAGCACGATAACTCATAAACGAATGGACTGATTACGATGAAATTTTGCAGGTGGATTCTTTATCAAATTTGTAGATCGGAGTTCGTGAATTGGCAATGTAGACCAAAAAATAAAGTAGGCCCTTTTGACATCTCCGTTAGTTATGAACCGAACTGCATGAAATTCTCAAGCTTTAGCCATATAAAACGCAATTCCAAAAGTTGAGCCTAATCGATCATCATTCATAAGGCCCTGTTCGCCTCTCGATCATTTATAAGTCGAATTGCAAACTTTCTTATTTATGAAGGTATTTAAATGAAATTTGATACATACATAGCCACTTGGAATAAAAGCAAATTTAACGCCAGTTTCAAAATTTGGTTTTGCGCATGCGCAGTGCCAACTTTCTTATTTATGGAGGGATTTAAATAAAATTTGATACATAGCCGCTTGGAATAAAAGCAAGTGTAGCGCCATTTTCCAAATTTGGTTTTGTGTAGGATGTGCAGTGCGAACTTTCTTATTTATGGAAGCAATTAAATGAAATTTCATACATATACACTTTAAATAAAAGCAAAACTAACATCAGGTTTAAAATTTGGTTTTGCACATGCTATAGCCATACCCAGGAGCTCGTTTGCTATATTTGTTTAATTTACTTATGTTGCAAACGTTATAGGTTACAATTTAAATAAAATAAACAATTTTATGCAAGTTTCGAATCCTAACTGAAAACTCTATCTTAAATTTAATACACAATTTGAACGAATACCTATTCACTGTAACGTTTGATTGCAATTTTTATATACATGGTAATTAAAAAATATATATTCCATCTCAACTTTCATTTTTAGTGTGAAAAGTGCGAAAGTTCTCCTCGTATCTCCCCTTGCTTTTACTGTTGCGTCTTGGGTGGGGTTGCAGTGGAGAATTGAACGTTGGGACGCGAACTCTGGAAAAAACACCTTCAAAATGACCTTTCCTCTCTTAAAAAATCCAAAATGGCATACGGTCACGATCTTGGAAGCTAAAACCAAAGAGTTACTCTTTGCTAGAACTGTCAATTTTAGGTGTGAAGAAGTAATATTCCATACCTTATACCATAGAGTAAATAATATGTTTACTCTATGCTAATACTTACCATGTATATCGAGCAGATGGTCGGTCAATTTAGTTAGAGGGATCTACATTGTTGTGGCAAAAGGAAGAATTAAAATTTGCACCTAAAATATTGATTCTCGTCGCCTATAATGAATTACGTTTCATTCCCAATGAGACCTACTTTGAAAATTATTAGTATTCCGTCATGAGCACAACCGTCAGAATGAAGAAAATTAGACAAACGTGGGGTGCGCTTTTAATTACACCTCCCATTCTGTTGGCTTATTCTTTTATATTTAAATTAGCAAACGGCAAAATAATTTAAATTAATAAACTTAAGACTACTTTAGCTAAACGTCGGTCGTTTAAATTTCTGTGCAAGTACGGCAGTGTTTATGTAAAAATAATACGATAGGAAGAAGAAACATCTGTTCCTAAAAATTCAGAATATTAATTCTAATAACCGGGGCGTTTAAATATGGATCATAAACCGTCAGGACACAAACTCCCGCTAGCAACCCAGCTTTTTATTTTCTTATTACCGACGGCTAAATTATTGTTTTACTTAAGACTCGCCTGTTTAATAATTGATAAGATTACATGAGCTGCCTGCTTCGCATGCTTGGTAGAATAAACAACTTTTAGACATTTTCCATTATTACTTTTAATGCCGTTAATTTTCTAAGGAATTTTTAATTATGCACTTATTTTCGCACGTACCTAAAGTATTGATAAATAATTAGCTTTTAACTTTCAGAACTTAAAATTGAAGCGAGAAAATTCGCCGGAACTAAACGAGTTCTTAAGGAGGGTCATTGAGAAGAAAGACATCTTCAAGAGCATACGTGAGACTGCTGAACTTTTCAGTCGCGATTCGTTACATAAAAGTGCCGTAAGTCGGTTTCACCTGATATCCAAAGAAATAACTTTTACGTTTCCAGCATCATAAGATTGTTTTAAATGCTTCACTTCCACATACACAAAAACATTTTAAGAGGGAATATTCGCGACCTGTAAATGATGTCTACCCTTACGCAGATGACTATGGAAAATTAGACGCTAGCACCCTTAGGCGACGAAGATATGAACGGTTAAGTGGAGAATTAAATGAAGATGATTACAATCCAAATGAGGATTACGGTTCAAACCACATAAGAGTTAATCCGCGTGGTGAGGTGGGAGTCCGTGAGGTACCGGGAGAAAAGTACAGTCATAGATTTGCCAATAGAAAACACCTGTCAAAACGTGATCTTTCGAAAAGGCTTGCATTGGGTCATCGAATAGTATACAAGCAACCTAATGAATACGTTAATTTAGATTCTGACAAGCATTTCCTTACGAGTAGCAACTTTGAAAAACTCTCACAGTTGTTCTCTAATCGAGACAGTGAGCAAATTAACAAAATTATTGCACGGCATGAACAATCTTCTAAGAAGGACTTTCAAAACCAAAGACACCTTAAGAAACACTTTCGAACGTCTTCCAGTCCCGAAGTAACATCCGCAGGACCCATAGTTAACCAACACCCCAACGATCGCGACCAAGACCAACGCATTACCCTACTAGACGTCGACCACCCGACATCAGCTATTGAACAATACTTACTCCTAACAAAGCCGAACATCTTCGTCACTTCTGGAGAATACTTACCGACACCATCACCCGATGCTTCACTGGGTGCAATAATAAATACTGAATCTGGGGAATTCTCTGTGAAGGAGTCGAAAGACATGGTGCACGACTCGCAATTCGGCGATCTGTTAAATGACAGTAGGTTAAATCGAAACGATGACCAAGCACCGAGTGGACCTATTTTGGATTCGCAAACTGACATGAGAAATACAATTAATAATCTTGTGCAAGCCTTAAATGAAGCAAACAGGAAATTGAAAAATTCAAAATACCTTAATGGAAAACGAGATGATGAAGAGGAATCTGATTTTCAAAAACGTAAGTTGCTTTACTACGACGATCATGAATACCCAATTGGGAGACGCGTGAAAAGAAGGTTGCCGAAAGCATTTGGACACATATACTCAGACTGGGATGGCAATGGCAATGAAATGAAAAATTGGGAAGACGAATATGGCGAGGAAGAGGACTTTGGCCCAAGTCGAAAGGCGACGTACAATAATAAAAAGAACGTCAAGAATCATTTCGACAATAAATTTATCGAAGTGAAAAGCAGTGAGGATGAGTTTGACGTGGTAGAAGCGCAAAACACAGTTGAACAAGCTAGCAGCGTTTCAATGGGCCATGGTTCTACAACGCACAGCCCGCTGGAAATGCTTGGTGCGAGAAAGAATAAGACGATGCACAAACCCAAACACAATAATGGCACAATGGCACCCTCATGCACGAAGAGAGTGGGGCGAGATGAAACTACTACGCCAAATTTGGGATTGGGATGTGAGTGTAGTGGTTCGTGTCAACGCCAAGAGTGCAAGTGTCATAACTGCAAGGACACAAATGACGAAAAGCCTGCGAATCCTTTTGGCGTGGAAAATGAAGCGGGAGGTTTCGAAATTTTGAAGCCGAAACCGGTAATCGATAGTACCAAGAAAGTGTATCTCGATTTCGAACTGGCAACCGATTTCCCACTTGAGCCGGTGAGTAAAAATCCGAAAGTCCGAGGGAGCCAGAGTGATGAACCAGTAGGTGGCAAGTTAAGCGATATTTATACAAAATTTCACTCAAAACACGACGAAAATGAATTTAATAAAAATGATCTTCGGAACGTGCTTGAAACCTCTTCGGGGTTAGACACTGTTGGTGACATTAAGAAGGCAGACGAGGTGATTCAGGCGAGTATTGACGAAAGCGCGATTGTTTCAAATGAACCTGGTAGTACTGTGAATTATCAAGCTGTGGACAAAAGGGAAATTGGCAACAACGAAGAATTTTCTGTAAATCTGGACAAAAGTAAGCGAGACGAAGGATCTCTGGATACGTCATCTAAAAGCCAGCAGTACAATGTTGACAGTTTCGACGATGTTGTAGAGGACGTGGCATTTCATAAATCGTCCGACACAAGGGGGCGCAAAAAGCATTGGCGGAACCGTCTCCATTATCGGCCGTACGAGAACCACGCAAGGCGCTACCCATACAGACGTTATGAAATGGTCGACTATCCCCAGCTTGAATTCGTTGATGATGAAAAGAAACGCCGGCATGATAAATATAGATATCCAAAGCGAATTCGAAGGCACAACAGGTTCGTTAAAAATCGCGACATTGAGACGTGGCATCCGCACAAAAGAATAGCACGATGGGACAAGCCACATGGTAATCGGCCCCTGAAGGAGTGGATAAATCCCAAAAATCCAAAGATGGACGAAGGGAACGGACTAGAAAGGCAGCTCGATTTAAACTCAGAGGTATCCAATGACTCGCGGGTATGATAACTGCTACTTATGCAACCAACATGCCAATTATACGGGGTGTTAATTTTAAAACTTGCAGTCGGCCATATTTTCCAAACTAGAGAATATATTGAAAATCGCATAAAACCGTTTCGGGGGTATCGATGGGAAACCAGATGACGTTATGAGTGACAACCCCCCACCTCCCCTTAACCCCCCAGCCCTTCCTCTTCAAATATCCTAAATGGCAACCCCATACTTGTGACACATCGTTGGAAAGCTACTGAAAAATACTTTCCAGTGGTACCAATAAAGTCAATATTCATTAAGACAGTAATTTAACAAAAAGTTAATAATTAACAAAAAAAAACAAATGTTGACATTGAGGGATTTATGGCAAATTGGCCAAGTACTTCAACCTGAACTTCTTCATTAAGCAATTTTGGTTGCTTTCTTTTTTTATGATAACAGATCCCGTTTCTTCGAATTTAGCGACCAAATCTTGAACATAGGCATGGCTTACATTTCTCCCGGGATGTCTCTCAAGTCTAGCTGTTCTAAATGATGATCGATCGGGAGCCATAAATGAATATTATTTCCACACGTTCAGTTGTACTGTAAGTCAATAAAAAAAGAAAGCAACCAAGATGCTTAATGAAGCAGCTCAGGTTGAAGTTCTTGCCAATTTGCCATAAATCCTTCAATGTCAATTTAGTTTTTTTGTTAAATAATAATAATATAATAATAATATATTTATTTTTCTGTTATATAGCAGAATACAAAAAAATCAGTAAATAATAAGACTAAGAAAAATAAATATTGCCAAAATTTGAGGTAGTTTAAACTACTTGTAATGGAAAAACTGGAAAAATTGTTTTAATGAATATTGACTTTATTGGTACCACTGGAAAGCATTTTTCAGTAGCTTTCCAACGATGTGTCACAAGTATGGGGTTCCCATTTAGGATTTTTGAGGGGGGGATGGGGGGTTAAGGGGGGTGCGATTATCAATATCTTCTTTAGTTTGGAAAAAATGGCCGACTGCAAATTTTAAAATTGACACCCTGTATAGTGTTCAGTGTCTCTGGTTACATAATGTACAGTAAACTAACCCAGGCGTCAAAAGTAACCGGAGTTGCAAAACCTTCTCTTGCAGAAGCAGTCCGGGAAATCTCATGCAGAATTGAATGACTACGCACAAATGCAAGATACGTTAGATGGTCATATAGCTTTTTCGATTGTGGATAAGGTTCTGTCCGAGTTAAAAAACCATAAGGAACTTTCTGCAAGATTCCTTAAGAGCCTCTCGAACAGACAACATATGGGAAAAGATACGGTAAGTAAAATGCGATTACTAAATTTTAAATAGAGGTCATTGGTACGTAAATTGAATACGTTGTGATACGGTTAACCGTCTAATACTAACTAACCTATCTTAATTTGCACGGTATATTTTTTTTAGCGTCGAGTTGTTAATCATCCGGATGCTCGCTCGCTCGATGGCTTCATTTCCATCGATTTAATGGAGACCGGATGGACCGTTTACGATGAAGTTTTGCAGGTGGATTCTTTATCAAATTAAAATTTTCAAAAAACCTGCAAAGTGTATGTTAATGTCACATCGCGCCCTCTACCACGCATCACATATACTAAAAAGACTCTATTCATGGAAAATCTGATTCCACGAAGAGAGCTCTTTCCAACAAGACCTATTTTGTGAAAATGGGTTAACCTAAACCGAAGTTACATTCGATTTCTTAAATAGATGTTCTCCTTCCCCTACCCCTCCTATTTTATGAACTAGAGCAATATGTGCTGCATCAAAATTATGCAAAATTGATACAAGATTGCTATGCATGTATTTTTTATACATGTTTGTTGGGAATATTTTAGAAAAATAGTATATTATTTCATGAGCATGTAGTGGTGGCTATTACTCATGAGAATGTGTCATTCTTTCGAATGAGTAATAGCCATTACATGCGAATAGAATACTATACTTTTTCTACGAATATTTGGCAAAATTTAATGAAAATATTCAAACTTATCGTTTGTTACCAAACCAATTACAGTTGAGTTATTTTATAAATATTTAAAGTTGGTCATACTATGACAGTGTCACAATTGAGATGATATAGAGATCTCAAAAGGTTGTCAAGCTTTCGTTTCTCATTTCTTCAAATTTGATCGTTTAAATTATGGGTTTATTGCTATATGTAATTATTATAGCTAATCGCCTAAACATTGAATAATGCGGGTACTACCAAAACTACGACAAAATAACAGGCATGTGCGACTTACGAAGTAACAGAATATGTACGAATACTTAACCTCACTTCCTATTTTTACACTTTGAAGACCCTTTTGTAAGTGGGAGTGAAAGTGGGAGTGAAATATTCAAATTTTCATATTTATATTTAGCTTAGATCGATCTAAGATATTTAGACTTTCCCGGCTATAAATTTAAACATGGGTAATTGTTTTGCCGTTTCTGTTTTTGGTTTGGCGGCGTACAACTTAAATTATTTTCATTTTCGCTATCCATCTTGACACTTTCAAATTCGATGCGTCGGTAATACAGTGATCTTTTCCTTTGAGTTCAATTCAGCAACTTAATTTATATTAAAAACGGTCTAAATTAGCATGGGATGTTTTATTTAATTTAATATTGATTTTCAATTGTACAATTTTGCATTCACATTTTTGTTTTTTGTGTTATTAAATCTAATTCTTAGATTTGGGCAAGTCCTATATTTCGATACAAAGGCAAGTTACAACCAGATAAATTGACGGATTGATTCTTTGTTTTTTATGAAACTTTCTCATTGGCTGGCTGCGGTGAGTTTTTTAAAGCCATGCCCCGTGATTAATTATTACTCACTGCTGTTATCCAATAATGTGAGGAATTTATACTCTTACTTCATAAAATTGGAACGTTTAATGTATTCATTAACCTATATGAGTAGAAAAAAGTCATTTTTCTACTTAACCATGAATCGTACGCCCTCTGGCGGCGAAGCTAGGAACTTGAAGATAATTTCCAGCGATTTCTCTTGGCTTGGTTAACAAAATTTTTTTCCCGAAGGTGTGCAATTAACGGTTCCATAGATATGGCCTGTGACCATTATTAATGGGACACCCTGAACATAGCTACAATAATAAACGCTAAATCAGGAAAAAAATTTAAAAAAAAGAAAAATATCAAACATCACAAGTAGCAATAATTATCCAGACTAATTGTATGGTACCCCTAGGCTGTGCTTTATCGGCATTATGTTCGATGGGGATTCGGTGTTTCTTTTTTAAATTTTTTCTCTAATTATAAGATTATCTTATTATTATACGATATCTAATAATATTAGAGAAAAAATTTAAAAAAGAAACACTGTCCTAGTCATTAGCAGTACCTACCATTAGTCTGCAAAAAAAAACAAAGAATTGTTTTTTACAGAGTTATCAAATGTTCGCAATTTTTTTAAATAGTTTTTAAGAGCTATTATCAACGTTTTCATTTGGTGTATAAGTAACTTATTTTCTCAAACACCAACCATTTAAAATTGGTTCTGCAAGAAGTACCGCATCAGCGCCTTAAGTCATATGACCTGAGGCGGCAGACGATCGATTTTAGCATGCTTGGATAGGCCAAAGTGGAACTCCGTGGGTTAAAATTTTGATCACTCTCGTTCAGTGGATTTCGAGCTACCTCCCCTACTATTAGGTATCGAGGGGAAGTTCAAAAATGATATCTACAGAATTTTAGGTTTCATCCCCCCGCCCCCCCCCCCCCCCCGCCACTCCACTTCGAAATTTAAAATGACACTCCCTAACTTCTGTTACATCATTTTAAAGGGCGTAACATTCTAGATTATGATGTTAACTTGTGGTTGGTTTATACAATCATTATATCATTATCGCTATCAAAGGTAATTAAGAAATAGCCAATAGAAACGAAGGTTAGTGCGCGTTGCTAACCAACGAAACCACCTTGAGCTTAGTAAATTAATGATAATGATTGTATAAACCCATCATCACGCCCCCATCGGCCATTTCTTCCCGGCCTTCCTTGAACGACTTGTGCCACTTTTTGACTCGTGAATAGGACAAGCAATCAACCTTGAAGGCGCGAGTAAGCAAATCAAACGTTTCCTTCGCTGTCTTTTGGAGTTCGACGCAACATTGCATCGCATAGTGTTGCTCCAAAGTTGTCTCCATCCTAACCACGTCGAGGCTCTGCGCGGAGGTTCACTAAAAATAACAGCACCACTTTAAGAACCCCCCCCTCCCTTCCCCCGCCATTTCCAACCGATCGCGCAGGTGTGCGCTGTACAGTCGCGTGGCGGAAAATTGAGGCTCATTACTTTTCGGACAAATACTGTATTTCAGAAATGGTTGGCTGACTAGGGGCCATTAACGAATTGCTAAAGATGGACAATGATCTGATCGTTAGATTTAGCTTCACGTTTGCCATTTTTAATAATTTTCGTTTGTTACAGAAAGCCTTAGAAGCCTTCTTAAAAGCCGAAGCGGAAAACGATCTTAAACACTCCGAGCAAATGATGCACAATATAATGGTGACGCTCAACAAAATGATTACGGATCAAGTCCAACGCAAGATTTGCAAGCGAATAGCGCCGGAGTTACGCACATTTCTCAAGAGAATCGTGTCGGGCTCTTCTCAAAAAGAAACTGACGAGGAAGCTAAAATAGTGGAAGAAGGTATTCCTCTTCCCGTTGTCAAAGCCAGCAAGGCACGAAAGGCTTCTGATTATCAACCGGAAAATTCGTTTCTGTTTAACAAGTGTAGTAAAGAGGCCGAGCACGAACAGATCGTTGCTAACATTCAAGAGAAAATAGAAATGGTGAATTCCTTGCTGGAGCGATATGATCGCTTAAATCAGAGCTGCAAGGATCAGGCACGCGATGTGAAGAAGTATCTGCATCAACATTTGGGCATGCTTCAACAGATACGACGTAAACTGGAACATAAGAAGCACACGGCGCCGCGCAGGGCAAAGGATACGTCTTCAATGGTTCCAAGTGGTTCGTCCAAAAAACCTGCAAAGAATACTTTTAATGTCGATGCCATATTTAATGAGCATTTAAAGAAGCTAAAAAGCGATCACGAAAATACCCACATTAACACTGATTTGGGTACCAAATCTGAAAATGAGAAGGAATGTGAAAGCAAACAGTCGACTGTTTCAAGTCAATGCCAAAAGCTTGCGGATGCCGCTGATCACCTACGCCAAAATAGAGAGTCCGAGGAAAGAATAGGCCGATTGTTTAGTAAAGGAGAAAACGAATTCGCCAATAACGAAAACGTAGATGTGTCTAAAATTAAATTTGAGCAATTAGTCCCTTACAATTTAGGTTAACAAAATGGCTAGATTATAGATTCGCATTTATTGTATACATTTATATTATATTTGATCAACATTTCGTGCGTTATTATTATTCAGGAAACAAAATCTAAACCTAAATCCCTTGATCGTGAGTCTTAGAATTTCAGACAATGACTTGCTAGTTTCTGGAACGGCAGTTTCTAAATCCCATATAATTGTATCACGATCGTTTGCTCAGGGGAGAGTTGTACACATTTCTATATGCTTGTTTGTGTTGAAATCAAAACCTCTTGCGAGAAAAAATACGGATGTTAGAAAATTCGCCCGTCTGTCAAAATGATATATGAAAAAAAATTATTAATGTCTACTTGTTACGTTTATGGAACGACGTTATCCGGTCTCTTAGGAGGTAGCCTGATTAATTGTTGGTTAATAGAGTGAGCGCTAATGGCTTTGTTTTCTTGTAATTTTGTAAGTTAGAGCTTTAAAGTCAGAAATTTTGTTTCTAAAAAAAGGTTCGTCGTTACCTTTATCATGGATTATACGTAAACGACGTTAATAGACAAATTCTCCAAGGGGGTGAGGTGTTTGTTTAGTAATAAAAGCAAAGGCAATACCAACCTTTAGACCTAATTCGCCTTTATAGGATATTTTGGTATATTTGAAGGTCCATTCTCCGAAATTACGGCTTTCCTAAAACAAACTGTTTGAGTAACAATTTTTTTAAATCCCGATTAATACTTACCCAGCATACCTTCGCAATAATTGTTATATTCAGCTGGTAAGTGCAGTTTGCGTGTGCCTACCTTTTTCCTCTATCTTACTTACCCGAGGGAACACTTAGGGTAATGATTCACTTTCAGTTTGCTGGAAAATCGGCTCAAAAGGAATGAACGCAACTTTTCGGTCAGATCAGAGATCGTGGCAATTGCACTCGCATTCTCCAATCCGTTTCTTGTTATCGCTTTTTATCGTCAGGCTTACTTTAGTTCAAGTTTACTATGAAGCGGTGCGTCTGGAAATTTCCTTATGTTTAATAAAGTACAATTTCAAAACCAAATTTTTGAAACGATAAAGTGACCACCTGTTACACTTTGTAGACAATCGGTGCTAGTTCTCTGGTTGTACACATTTCCTTATTGCCTCCTGTCGTTCTGCATAAAATTGTTACGCCATGGTATGTTGCTTCACTTAATTGAAAGATTTTTTTTGCAATTAAGTTTTGGTGCTAATCAACCCTTACTGGCAAAAGAAACACTTACCTGCTCACAAGAATTAATTTATCCCATGTACACGCCCTAAATTTGCCGTGCTTTATTGCATTCTACTTTCACACATTAAATCGAACCAGCGTGATCAGGGTCAAAAATTCAAACAAAGGATAAGTTCTAAAATGTTTCACTGAGAGTTTACAGCAATCTGAGTATAGCGGGATAGGTCTTAGGGCGGAAAGTTGAAATATGTATTTGTTTTATTTCAAAGGATGACCTATTCGCTAAAAAGATCAAAACTCTGGATAAGCGGTATCGGTCGGTAGAGTAAAAACTTCATATCCTAATACCTCAGAAACTGAATATCGGAAGAGAGTACTCGCAAAGGGAAGATGAAACGTCTGGACGAGAGATGTCCGTGCAGAGAAATGCAAATAGAGGATTCGAAGTAGCAATTTTTTAAGAAACCAACAGAAGAGAAGGTAGGAAAAGAGGAGGTGAGAGGAGAAGAGATATCAAGAGAACAGATTGGGCAGCAATTTAGGAGATTACCGGAAGAATGGAAAGAAGCGGTAATAGTGCCGATTTGCAAAAGAGGTATGTACAATTATAGGGGAATCACGATATTGACGACGGCGTACAGAATATATGCAATGGTATTGAATGAAAGATTAGAAAAAAAAATAGAACACATTTATTTATTTATTTATTTATTGTCCCTCCCTTGTTCTGGGCCCTTAACAGGCTTGCCGCCAATTACGGAATGACCCGCATAATGCTTTTTGGAGGCGCCCCTGCAGAAGGTCTTAAGTTGTTCTATACTACTCCAGTATTTACCTTCCGAATTACGAAAACTGCAGGAAAACCTAATTCGGAGTAGCCGGCCGAATGCTTGAAACTGATTTAAGGAAATTCCCAGGTTCGAACACCTGACCTTCCGGCTATGTAGCCCAACGCTCTACCACTGAGATACACAGTCGCCTAGAGAGATAATGTTGGAGGAAACTAAAATGGGATTCAAAAATGGGAGAACGATCGACTGCATAATGTGTACTACACAGATGATAGCGTTTTTGATGGACTTAAAGGCAACGTTTGACAGAGTGGAAACGGAAAAAGTATAGAAAATGATGGAGATATCCGGAAAAACCCGAAATTTTGCAAAATCGTTTTTATTTTTTACTGAAGTTATTTAAAAAGATATTTCGAAATAAATAACACATAATTATGGCCACTTTTTTCTCTCTACAAGATGCTAGTTTTTTAAATCCGACGTTTCGTTTCCGGTTGACCATCATCAACTTTGTTTTTTCTCATGGAAGTTGTTGATGGTATTAAATTGAATAAGAGCTGATTTTAATACAACAGAAGTAATTTTTACTTTTTGGGTCATTTGATTGAGAATTCAAAAAAGTAGCATCTTGTAGAGGGACAAAAGTGGCCATAATAATGTATCATTTATTTCGAAATATCCTAGGAAATATCTTTTTAAATAACTTCAGTAAAAAATAAAAACGATTTTGCAAAGTTTCGGCTTTTTCCGGATATCTCAGAAAGTAGCCGGAATTTTTTCAAGTCTCAAAACTGCATTTTGTTAAGCATCAAAATACGCACTTTGCCAAATTTAAACCACCTACCTATCTCTCACAATACCCAAAATCCCCATAGTGACCCTCAAATTTGAATCGCCCTGTATATGTAGAGACAGGCATGAGGTTAAGGATATGATGGAAGGAGTGTGAAGTGTTCTGGACATGTAAAAGGCTGAGACAAGGATAAAATATTGAGACAAGATCAAAGTGGTGGGATAGTAGTGGGGAGAAGGAAGATATGGTCCCTGGCATACGCGTATGAGACAGTAATAAGAGGTAAGACAGATGAATCATGGGAAGAATGAAGATGTATTGGGAAAGCAAGGGAGTGGAGTTAAATGTCGAAAAATCGAAGATCATGAGTTTTACAAAGGGTAGGAGGAAGGAAAAGGAAGAAAATGGAGGGAAGAAAAAGTAGAGGAACTAACAGATATTAAATTCTTAGGGTACCAAAAGCAACGAAATAGTGTGGTGCAAATGCTCAAATAAGGGAACTGAAAAAAAGGTAGAACTGGCAAAGGGACAGGTGTGGGGAAAACGATGTTAGAATACGATAATACTTTTTGATGCAATAGTGAGAGGGGTGCTTATGTACGGAACGGAGATATGGGGGTGGTAGGAACAGGATGAACTTGAACGAACACACAGAAGGTATTACAAATGGGCATTGGGTCTAAACGGAAGGACATTAAATGGCATATTAGAGGAGGAAACAAATATGGAAAATATAAGGAGAGCGCCAGGGTGCCGATGTTTCCGTCCAGCGTCTTGCCGGCGACTGCCGATGGCGATTAAATTTTGCTAAGGGTGTGCATGGTTATAGGCTATAAGCTGCGTAATAAAAAATATACAGGGATGTTAAATCATAGGGTGATAAGTCCAAAAAACATAGATAATGAAGATTTTTTGTTCTTAGTTTCCGGTTAACATTACCAAGTGTGTTTTCGGCGTAATTTAATTTTATAGCACGATGACCCTTTCAATGGTCAAAATTCCGAACGTAAGACCGTAAATAGTATTATTTTATGAGGCGTCCGTGACTAACAAGCGGTCATTGTGAAAAACGCAATACATTTCACCGAAAACATGAACTAAAAAAGCAAGGCTGCACATTTAAATGAGAGATATGACTTAATGTATTCTGCCAGGTGTACCACTTTATGCCATGTATTAAAATATTCAAGCTATTCGTTTTATTTGTTACACGGTAATGCACATCGAAGGGATGGTAAGTTAAACCCTTCAGTATTTCTTTATTAAGAGGTCCATTTGACTGAATAAAGAGCCATTTTAGTAGTAGTTAGACGTCATCTAGTATAAAAACAGTCGCAGGTAGCCGCCCACTGCAAAACTTATGTCTTTTTCTTCTCATGGGCTAGATAGAGATGAAAATAATAATTTGTGTACACCTCACAGGTGACCATTTTTTGCAGTGGGCGGCTGCCTGCATGATTGACGTGACTGTTTTTGTGCTAGACGACGCCTAGTCGGGAATACAACATTTTGGGCAGAAAATCAAATTTAACTTTACGTACACAATCAAAACTCAAATACAACGTTCGCTAGTTGTTCACGACGATAATCGCTAACTAATACGTTAATTCATGGAATGCTGGGAGAGGCCATTCATTTACCAAAAAGTATATTTCATTGTTGAACGTAAAAGCGTTGATATTAATTAGTTTCGATATGTTAATTAGAATGAATAACGTCTGATAGGTCTAAAATGTTTAGTTAAAGCAGAACTTTATTCTGTGTTATGAAACATTAAAGTAGATTCTAGCATTTTTTTTTCAAACTTCGTAGGTGCGTCCGAGTACTTACACATTCCAACTATCGTGCATATTTAAAATTAAACAATTAATTACGCGGATAGCTTGCTGTGAGCCCTCAAATGCGAGAACGGGTAATCGATGCTTGTTTAAAGCTCATGTTTATATAAGGCTTGTTTTCAGTTATCTCATTTGTGGTGCTTTTGTCCCACAAATAGCATTTTGTGTGACAAGGACCAAAGGCGTTTCGAGCAATACCAAGTCGTAGTAAAGGACGGAGTTAAGTAGTTGAGAACAATGCCGCAGGTGTACACAGCCGCTGTTATATTCACTGGGTATTATTTTTAGAAAATGAACCAAAGTAGATAAATCCAAGTTGGGCTAGAAAATCTATGTCTCATAAAAAGTTTTATCCTTTGTAAAAGAAAACGAAAATTTAATTAAATAGTTGGAGCAGGACAAAACCACGCTTATTTGTAGTTGACATATTTATGAAGACTCGGAATTGTTTGAAGTTCTTTGCAAAATTACTCTTTGTTTTATACCTACCCACATCGATAACATAAAAGACATTCATGGATTATAAACGTCCAAAATTTCTCTTCTACTACC